TCTAGTGTGCTTATTGTAGACGGGGTTCCTTTATTGCGCTCTGAATGGCGTCGAAACGATTAAACCAATTTTACCTCTACATATAACCAGGGTCGGATGATCGTTTAGTACTTAATTTATTTTTAATGTATCTAATAGTTTAGATAACAATCGGTCTATTATTTACCTGGAGATTAAGAAATGGGCTTTATAAGTCGACTGAGCGTTTCTTAGTCAGGTAACGCGTAAATAATCTGAGACGTCATTGCCTCAGCAAGAAATTAGCAGCGATAGTTATTTCACGCTACGTGTTAAAAGCAATTGAAATCGCAACGTCACGTTTAAATAAACACATTGAACCCGAAATAGCGAGTTCAGCGCGCATCGGTCATCGTTTTCTTGAAAATGAACATTTCAACTTCAACTTACAGAGTTCGTTACTCCACCATCGACCATGTAATCGGGGCTCACCTGAAATAAAGAGAAGATCATTTAGTAAACGGTATTCAAACAATAATTTATAACGTTACATAAATAATCGCATAAGTCGACAGAGATTTACGTTCTTGGAAAAAAATAAACCGGTTCGTTACCGGTGTTTTAATTATTAGTAGCTATTTATTAAGTTTATATAAGGAAAAGGCGTGAATATATTAAAACGCTCACTTAAATTATAATAAGTTATTATCGCGTAATAAGTATAGACGCGGAAAAGTACTCCTGCGCACGGGTTCAATAAAATTATTAAGTATCTAGCTGGCTTTCAACCGGTCTCCGATGAAAGCGATAGCTTCCTATGCAAGAAAGTAAAACTGATCTCGACCGGCCGCGGCGTCCGGAAAACGCCGAGCTAATTAATTTGCCCAGAACAAAGCGGATCATTTTAATGCGGAGGCTTGAAATTGACATCGAATAACAAAGCAATTACAGTAGCTAGAGCGATTTACGACGATTTCATTAGAAACGACTTCGTACGGTCATTACTTATCATTACCGCGTTATGCAGGTATCTCTGTAATAAATCTGTTAGTGTTATGACACTGCGTTTATTACCGGTTCGATTTACTGGTTTCTGATTATTCGGATATTATTTCGATACCGCACCTACGTCATAGTGGTAAATATAGATACTTTGAACACACACAGCCATTGTAAAGAGCTACAAAAATACTTTAACATTAATAAGACACTTTAATCTTATCTCATTATTCTTGTACGTTTGCAAAAAAACTAAAATTTATTATGTTACCGTTATTATGCAGGTGTATTAAAAATAAAGCCAATAATATTGTGATAATGTTATTTTCCGCTGTGAAGTAAGCGAGAGGAGTTTTATTCGAACGTAATCAACGTCATTAGCAGTGCATTGTTGTGTAATGTTATGTTGCTGCCTATTAGATTTAATATCTTTACAGCGTCGTTTAAAACACAAGCACATAATAACCGGTTAGTAAATAACTAGGTAGGAATCTTCCTATTTGCGAAGATCGTAAAAATGCTTCGCAGTGCAGGGAACCTCAAGTACACTGTTTACTGCTAATTGTTAGTCATGTTGTGTCGAAGTGTGGTAGAGCCACTCGCCACACACGCACTCATCGGGCAATACATATTTGGTGTCATTGATTTTTTTCTTATTTGTTTAACAAGAATATCATAACTGACGTATGAGGGAACTCATCACGTTTATTTAAGAACATTTCAACACAGTATCTCTCTAAGCACTAAATAGGTTTAGAAAAAAAGAAAGGTTGGAATAATATGACATGACGGGCAATATAGAAACTTTCATTTGAGAGTCTCTTGAGTATTGTATTCATTTAAGCTGAACCTATACTTATTTGTGAGGGCAATTCCAACACACCATGCATAGGGCATTGCGCCACTCAGTGCAAGACGTCGAGTGTCACGACCTCAGTAGATACACACGGCTTGCAATGCAACCGAGCGAGCGCTAATTAAATCGGATGACGAGGTCTATATCTTGGGCCATGTAATGTATAGAAAATCCGTGCCACTTTACGTCACTGTTAATATCGATAATGACAAATGACACTGCACTATCTAGCAAGTTCCAGAACTTTGAGTATTTTTGCGCAAACGAAAAATTAATGTGTAAAAAAATCTTGTGGTATAGTTCTGAGAATAACAACACAGTTCTCTCGGAACGAGTAGATAAAAACAAGCATATATTCTACGGTAACTGATGCGTTAACGACTCATAAAATTACAATATGTTTACTTTAAAGTTGCTAGAAATAATAATACAATATCATCAATAATATACCAATAAGATATAAATACCAAAGGTTTCGTTGATTCTAGTGGCTGTACGTATTCAACGTAACGGTTCCACATTAAAAACAATTAATTTTTACGCGTACTTTATGGTAGAACGCGATAAGGCGATCAGACCAAACTGGTATTAACTACTTATATATAAGAGACGAATATAAGCATGGATTTAAGTAGTCTTGGTAACATACAACATAATTTTACATACTAACTGTTAAAACGGATATTGGGCCTTACAAGACATTATACTTTTATCGTTAACTGGTATGCTCTATCTATTTTTATAAGTTTGGGTACTAATAAGGATGTTAAAAATTATACTAATATTCTTTTAGATGCCACAAGAAAGAATATAAAGAATGAATGGAGATTTTTAGTAGTCATTCTCTATTATCTCAAGTGACGGTTGCGAGTTCAGCTTTGCGCTCGATCAACGAAGCAATCGCGGCCACTTGTGCTAATGAAACACTTCAATTGAATTGGGGACATTAATTCAGCGAGCGTATCGCCGCTGTTTACATTGCCCACATCGAATAGATACAATACCTACTGTAGAATTCACAAGTATTTCAGAATTGTTTTATGAGAAATATTTTAACACTAAAGTTTTGACAATCAGGGCGGTTGTTTGGCCGAGCCGATGCCGAAACTACGGTCAAACTCAAACTTCTATAAATAGGAGACGTGTTATCTTCGATTTTCTCTATAGCAGTTTCGTTTTCTATGCAATATTTTGCCGTACACGGTAAGTGCAAAAGAATGTGACAATTGCTTTCATATGCCTTCGTCAGCGATTTGAATTGCCACTTCCGCTCGGAATTAATACGAAATTATTATTATTTAACGCCGTTAGTGACTCACGCGTTTTTAAACGTATCGTAACGTTTTCGTAAATACATGGAGACTAGAAACCTTTATAAAAAAATGTAGGTTTACATTCTCTGTTGTATATCCGGAAAGGATTAAAAATGTATTTGAATATACAATAAAAACACTGTATATGTACTCTATAAGCAAATATGCTAATTTCCTATTGCAGTAAAGGTAATTATGTAAACGAACTCGACATCAAGGTTGCAAGTATCAGAAACGATGAATACGAAGCAATTAAGTCACTTGTTTAAAATATTCTAAGTATAGTTCACCCTACCTCAACCCGAGTACCTCAAAACTGTTCATGATTCAAGGTATGTAGTACATGTTAGATTAATGACTTGCATTAAAAAAAAACAGATTTGAAATATCGAATTCTGCTATCGCGTTATTAATAAAGCTGCGTTATAATTTTATTGTAGGGCAGAGAGTCGAATATCACATGCAAAACAGCATATAATATTTCAACAACAGGCCCGCTGTGCAGTGATCAATATGACATTGTGAATTGAAAACCACGCGGCGATTCTATGAAACCAATCATATATATAACGATTTGTTGTGTGGTTAGGTACAAAGATAGTTACACGGTTATATTTAATTTGTGTGTAGACATAACATTGATAGGGAAAAAGCCTATAATTACGGTTAATAATGGTTTATAAGTCCTAAAGAATTGAATATGTTCTGCCACAACAACAACAGGTATTTACGGAGTACTGTACTTGAATGAGTTAAATAGGCCAGCGTTGTTACTTCTCGATTTTACGGCAACCGGCGCAGTGATAACGCCATGTTATGGAGACATTATATTTACGGATCTACGGTACAGTTGTCAAGCGTGATGCACGCGACTGCAACTCCCGCGCACGATGTTGCAATCACATACTGCTATTGTCACGCGAGTCGCATCATAGACTACTGGCAGATCATGTGTAATTCAAACGTGGTCTGGATTATACAGCGATGATACGTATCTATTCAGTGCGCTGTAAGATTCCAAAGGAGTTAAACAATAAGCTTGTACAATTTCAAAATAATAGGAAGAATACTCCTTAGAGCGTTGCAACATTATATATTCTCTGATGTGAAGGCGATACGAATTCGTTTAGTAATAGTCGACTAAATTGGATCCATTAGCTAACGCGTTTACCTAACGCTTAAGCTAACGACATTAAGGCAATCGCAATGCGGGTCGCATTCGAGTTTTAAGAATAATTTTATTGCGTACATCCCGGAAACTCGAGTTTGAAGGTCGAAAATCGAGAAGACGGCCTTGCCGACAGCTGTGCCACTTTCTCTGTAGCTAAGAGAGCCCACGTGCGTAATCTGTAAGACAATGCTCGGATACAACTCGGAGCCACTCTTCGGAACAGCTGACATAATCACAATTTACGTTCACAATCTGTGGATTCCACTACGTGTCCCTGCGCCGACGCATTGTCTTTAGAAGCCTTGGTTTCGGCCTATGCTCACGGAACATGGTTATTCATTCTACCTGTTATTATACTCTTTCGTAATGTAGGTCTTCGTGTAAATAATAATTATTATCGCCGTTTCTATCGCAAAATTCGTTTTGCATCCCATCACTCGGTGGCGTACGATAAATAAAGATTCATCTACAAACTGCCATTGAGCTAAATGAATGTTAAATTGTAATTTAAATGTGTTTTATATTGATCGCAGGTCGGCGTTTAGTAATTGGAATTCTAAACATTGATTCTGAAATGTAGGTCCGTTGCGTAACCGAATGTACCTTAGCGGGTACACAGCATCTTTGCGTGTACGTGTGAAGTATAGAAATAAATGGATTTTCAATGAGATAGAATTTGACGAGTAAACGGCGGCGTGTCATAATGAGGGAAATCGAAGGTTGTCCCGTAGCGGGGGTATCGTTGCAAGTGTTGCATCAAGAGGTAACACGCGCTCGCGTTGTGCAACGCGGCGTTTTCACAACTCCACTGAAATACTGGATTAGCAACATTGACCACGCAATTGACGCCCGACGGGCTCCATTCCTAAGTCTGAACCTTTTCATTTCAGATAAGACGAAAAAGCGATTAATACAATTAACGTGGCCAATTTCGACACGCTTAATTTCCGCAGTTTTAATGGCCTCTTTTTCCGCCGTAAATACATATTATAAATATGTATTTGCGGCGACGGACGAGCTCAAATATTTTGCAAATAGATCTCAATACGCGGAGAATAATAATATAGGTACGTGTAATTAATAGTAATGGGACAATTTATTATAATAACGTTTCTTGCTCAAAATGTAATTAATGATAATTGTTAAGGATTAAATAAATTACGCATTTGCCACACCTCCACGACGGAACGTTAACTTTATGGTAAAAAACCACTATAAGGTAAAACCCAGTAAATACAATACATGTTTTAACGAGAATATTGTGAACTTTATTATTTATTTGTGGGGAAGTAATGGCAGCAAATTTTGACAAACATTTCTAGACTAACTACTCAATAATGCAACGCTAATTACGTGTAATCCTTTTGTGTTTTTTTTTCTTTTCTGAATATTGTAGGTGTGTGTGGCGGTGAGTAAGCGGCTTGACCTTCGCGCGAGGCGAATGGGCCCATCAAAGAACGCTTCACCTATTTTACAGGTATACGCTTTAATATAATTACTATTCTTATTATCTGACCACCCATTATACATACTAATAAGGCGAGCGAGAACCCTCCTTCAATTAGCATAATAAACGTAAACTTAGGTACATATATTATTATTTACAGCAGTTTATTTCTCTTTCTTTTACTCTCTTTAAAGCATTTTACTTAAGATTATTTCATTTCTTTAAATGCGACTTCAAGTTGTGTAAAGATATATTAAATAAATACACAGGCTGCGCTTTTGTATTAGGTAATAGAAGTAACAGTAATGTGCAATAAGAACGTGTCTGTAAAAGGTATTTATTACGTCATGGTATTATTATACAAGACGGTTTACGTAGAAAATCTGGTTAACATACGACTACAGAGAGTAATCTAATAATCTTTATTAGTTTTTGCTCAGCTAGTGTCAATGTAAAGGATTTTAAATATCAAATCAAACTAATAGACAACTTTTTTATTCTTATTTCTAAATAAGTTCAGAAATTGCTAGGAAATGATATGGCTCTGATATACGTTATACTGAAAAGTTTTGATAGTTCCAACCGCTTTTCTATCATCAGCTGTTTTACGATAACGTTTATATGAACTTGTCATTTTTCGGGTTTTCATGTACTGTAGAAAGAGTAAAATAATAGGACTCATGTGGGTAACATCCTGTTGAGTCAAGAAAGTTATTGTAGTAAGGCAAGGCAAGCTGCTTCAATTGCTCAATTACAAGTCGTTCGTACTTCATTGTCCTTCGCTGGGGTTGTGTTCTTGCGGTAAAACGAGACTATAGGGTTTAAAATACATTATTTTTTACCATTACTTATTTTTAATTTGTTTATTGGTTTACAAATATTAAAATTTTAACGAGTTTAAACACGAAAGTGTTGTGTTCAGCGGCCTAGGTCATGGGGTTCAGAAATATCGTTTTGTAGTTAAATATATTCACTTAGTGCTAAATTAAACCCTTTCCATTCTTCCTTATAGAAAAGATCCGAACAAACAGTCGAATTTGTAATAATATTAGAAATAGTTCCAAGCCTGGCGACAACCCTATGGAGGAGCACAGTGTGTGGGACACATTATGCGAGCAAGCTCCATTCTCAGGCATCTTCGCTAATTATTATTTTGTCTCCAAGGCAACAGATGTGCCACATCCGCCCGAAGTTTCACAGTGCGAATTAGATCAAATTGTTACACCTCGATTTGGCACTTGTCAATTTCCAACGGCCTTTAAACACAATACTTAATAATTCGAGCGAAGTGTTAAATCGTTTAAGAGCAAAATATAATTCGGCGCGACGTCTTTCGTCTTGTATTTTTAAATCAAATTATTTATGGCAATCTCCTCAAGGCGAAGTTGTTGTTGCGCCCATTTTGAACAATGCCAGAATGTTTTGACGTTTACTAGAATAATGTAATGGAGTTTAGAAGACAAGTTTGGATTTAAATCCTTCGTTGGTCACTTTTGAGCCCACGCATCGCACAGATAGAAATATTTCATTAGACTATAGAACAAATCGTAAAATAAACGAAAATTAATATAATTCTCAAAACAGCACACAAAACTAATTCGTCCATTTTGTTAGTGGTTAGGAACAAAACAAAAAAATAAAAGACATGCGAATAAGCAACATGTGTACACTAATGTAAAGTTCATAGAAAGATGGCTTTGTGAACCGGACGTGACTCTTGTGAGATTATTTTTAGCCGTTCGTCGCCAACAAGTTGTAAATAAAGCGACAATAAAGAGCAGGTTGAACAAACTGCCGTGAAATATAGGAAACAGTATCGGCCGGGGTCAGGCCGATAACTTCTGAACTCACTGGACTAGTTTCGGATAAGTTATCAACTTGCGTCACATAAAATATTAAATATTTTGTTTGTTGGCTGACGATAAGGTTTTCGAGAATTTCTTTGAGGTTCACAGCTCATAAATCTAATTAGCATTTTTTAATGAGAACCGGGACAGCGAAAGGAAAAGTACGTTAAAGTTTTCCACGATAAAGCACTGGTGCGTGCCATTCACATCATAGATCACCCCACTTGTTACGGTGCTGACTCCTCACCCGATGGCCGATGGGTACATAATTCCGTCGCAACTCGCTGTCATAATAATTACGAAACATTTCTGTGCACAGGTAGCAAAATTTATGGCCCATAAACGACGCTGTCACGATAATGCAGAGCTAGTAATTAAATAATAAATAGATTTTCAACGGCGGGACAAGAGGTTCTTCGTAACGACTGTTAGTGTTCAGAAAGCAAGGGTTGGTTCGCCGCGATCAAATAATTAAACGAAGCACCTTTTTCTAGAATCTTAACGTGCATAATAAACACGAGAGTCCACTTTAATAATTCACGTGCATGCTTTACTGCATTTCATGGGCCCTTGAGTTCGTAGGTACGGTACGAATCCACTCGAGCGCAACCAAGCACGAGCGTGCGAGCTGCGATTTGATAATGTTGTGCTATCGGCAATCTTTAATGACCACACAGTCGTTGCGAGCGCAATAGTGCATAGTGTTATTTAAAATAGTAAATAGTATATTGTATAAACAATTTTACAGAGTAGCGCAGAGAGCGAAACTAATAATAAGCCAAACTAAAAACGCTTGTATATGCACAGTGTTAAATAACAAGCCTTCCATTGATTGATAGATTAGCAGTGAATAGTCATTCAACTCCAGCATTAATTTATTAATGTTAGGTTACATCCACATTACGTGTATCCAGTTGCGTTGTTGCTTAGATAACCTCGGTAATAATAACGGAGTGTAATATAAGATTACGTACTGAACACAAACGTTCTAATATTACGTTACAAAACCTATTAACTAAGAATTTAGATGGCTGTTGTAATCGTGTCACCCATCAAAAGTAGACTGCTCATTATAACAAAGCGAGGTTTTGCGATTGGAATCCGAATTTTGCTTAAGGAAACTCTCTTTAAGGTTACAGAGAAGGAAGCACAAGGGGACCTTGTGAAGTTCATTGGCTTTGCTTTTATACAAATACATATATATAATTGAATTATAAATTAGTTAAATCATGAATAGAAAAGTAAAACAACATTATGTGCGAAATATCCATCCATCGCATGACAATCTGCGGTTCGAAACAGTAAGCGAAGTGGAAACTCTACACCTTTCCACGCTTATCGAATTTTGGCAACCGGAATTCACGAGCTAAAATTCTGACCGTTAAACCGGGAAGTTCTGAACCTAAAGTTCAACGACACACGAATTTTAAATCCCTTCGTGACGACATCTAGAGTCTCAACACTTCCGTCACTCGAGAGAAACCTGACCTTTGCGCTATGCTCTTGCGCACATAACAACCGTGCAACGGAGATGTTATAAAACCAGTAATACCTCTGGAATAACACTGCAGACTTTATTGCTTCACGGTTTCAGGAAGCCCCTAGTTTGTATGTAGGTAGGAAGGTTGGTTCCTTACATGGTAATGTTTTGATGGATGAGCGATCGCGACCGAATACGCGCCGAATAGGAAGCGTACGTGCTCATCAATCGAGTGTTCCGAAATTGGCACGATGATGAGGCTGACATAGATTATGCAACGGCCGCGGCACTGACCTACCGTCGCCGCGATGCGCCACTTTCATTATTGACACACTGCTGCTATCTATAAACGGAGATCAGAAATACTATCACTGATACCGAGTACGTGCTCAACGACCGGAGGAACACCTGTAGCGTAACACCTATTTAATTTTACTTGTAATTCACTCCTCGGTGGTTTCCGTACATGGCTCGTGTATAAATGGCAGATAACAAGTTGGCAATAGGCGGTTTAATTTAAATTACTTTAATTAAAACGAAGAATGAGACCTTAATTAACTAAATAAAGCGTAAAAGAACATTATTTCCTTAACGTTGGGTTTAAACTATTATTAATGAAACTCTTCGAGGATTTATCATTGGGTTTTCAACCGATTCCATTTTGAAATTAACAAAAAGCCGCCATTTATATAAGAACTAATAAATAATAGGACGTGACGACTTGACGCTAGTCCGTGATAAGTACCGTGTATATTTAAATATCCATTATTATAAACAAGTGATAAATGCAACTGCGTTCTATTAATTGGCATTTATTTACACGATGAGAAAACAGGCAATTATTCCTTTAGCTCTATACAATATGGTACTTGGATTACGCAAATGCAAACGTAATTTACGTGGTTAAGATGTTCATTACCCGTCTATTGTAGTGATTAATGTTGCTACAATAAATAATAACATTACAGACAAACAAAGAGATAAAGCGTCTACAAATTGTGAGCAAAATAAACTCATAAGCAGTCTCGACAGAGGCAAGAGAACTTGAAGTGAACAATATCAAATCAGTGTGTTTGAAGAACAATACTCGAGTATGAATCGATTTGTGATTTAGTTGTAGGCGTGGCGGGGTGAGTTTGTATTTTGTAACGGATTAAATTAACATCGTAATGACCAACTTAATTAGACCCGGATCCATAAATAATTTTACATTAACACAATGTGTTCAGTCGGATGACACATACAAGCTTATGATACGAGGTCGTCACTTCGTTTTACAGGTGCCCTATTGCGCAGTGGTTTTTAAATTGGGGTGACACCCCATTTCCATACGGAATATTAAGCATTTTTTAAATGTATACAACACGTAATTATTTCGGATTTTGATAAAGACGATGTTATTTTCAAGGCATTACATCATTAGGGTGTATTTCGTAGAACGGTATGGTGTATAGTTTCTACTGTGCTGTAAGTCTTGTAGACACAAGTGTCAAGACAGGCGTGATAATATAAAATAGTAGGGATAAGGAAGAGGAGTTAGATAGGAAGGAGCGAGGCGAGCACAATGAAACAATACTAAAAGTGAAAGAGTTCGAAAGTTCTCTTCCTGCCCGCGAGCACACAAGACATCACGCGCGGATTATAATCGCTGTAATAGTGGTAATGGCGATGTTTGTGCAATGCTCTTATGCAAACTGCAATCGTGCGAATCATGCGCAATGTGACGCTTCGAGCATCGCTGCCACTATTGCGCTCATCTGTTTCAATAGTGACCTCAGCCGAGTAGTCGGTTTCAAAACGATAAACTTTGAAAAGGTACTAAGTTTAATTAACACACTCCTTATACAATACTCAGATATTTGTTTTTTTAGAACTTCATTAACGCAGTTATATAAAAGCAATATCTTCTATCCTTCTATTAGAAGTCGATTTCAAAACTCGAGCTATGTTTATCAATGAGATGAGTTTTCTCACCGAGCCAGTTGCCCTCACAAACCGAGCAATAAACTGCAACGCGAGTAAAATAATTTTCAATTTAATCGTTTCTGGGCACCGTGAAATGAGAAATGGTGCGTTAAGTATCGCTTAACTCAAGGGAATATTGAAAAGCCATGGCTTCGATGCGATAACGAGTGCGCTGAAGGCTCTTCTCCGTTCGTCCATGTCATTACGAAACAAGAAAAGAAAGTTAAAGCCGTTTCGGTTGAGGGCATGTCGCTCTACTTGGATTGCGCTTACGCCGTTATTGAAATGCACCTTAGACATCGTATCGCATACAATGTAATGCTTTGGAACAGAGATGGTAGTGCCATACATAGCCTCTGCGGTTTTCATTGTAGATGTTGTATGAAGGGCGCGTTGATTAAAGTAAGGAAAATTTTAAAATATTTTCTACAACCGTTTCGGTCGCACGAGTTTGTAAATTAATACGCACCTCTGAATGAATCGAGTAAATATAGCACACTTCTAAATACAAAACTTGTTGGATGTTATAAGCAACAATAAGCGAAAAATAGCATGAAACCATCAAGGTGAAGGATATAAAAGCCATTCTCATAATCATTAAGACGCGAACAATAAACAGAGCAGCTCTGTAGCCGGGTCATTAGATTTAATCTGCTTTACTTCATAAGAGCATTTATTCAAAACTAGACCAGTCACGAAACAGTGACCCTCTTATAAGCACGACCAGAATATCAAATGATGTTTTGCTGTTGCGTAAGGCGCGAGCTGATACGTTCTTTACGGGCAATTATGTAAAAACGAGCAACAAAAGTGGGTAGACGAGAGGCAAAGCGGCCGGTCCACGCCGCGGTTACAGTAAAAGTGTTACGCTGTGCTCGATTCTCGCGCTGTGATGCAACAGTTGTGGCGAATGTGTGCCAAAACTGCAGCCGAACCGAGTCGAACCTTCGACATGGGCGCAACAGGATTAAGTATCGATATCG